AGAGAGAGAGGAGAGGAGAGAAGAGACAAAGAACAGGACAAGTAGACAGCAGGAGACAGGAAGGGAGAGAAAAAAAAAAGGCATTTTTATTCTTGCCAGTTCCCTCCCCAGGTATCTCTTAAAGCTGATGCTGGGGCAGGCTCGAGCCAGAAGCCAAAGATTCAACCCACATCTCCTCTGTGGGTGGTAGGGACCAAGTACCTGATCTGCCTCCTGCCGCCTCCTAGGGTATACCTTAGCAGGGGACTGGATTCAGGGGCCAGGGAGGGAGCCAGGTCCCAACATGGGCGGCAAGCAACTCAAGTGGCATTTTAACCTTGATACCAAGTGCCCAACCGAAAACATAAACGCCTAAGTTTCCGTGAGTTGGTACATGACAGGGCTCAGTCGTTTCAGGCACTTAGTAAAGCACTCAGTTAAAAGTTGTTTATTTTTTTTCTACTCCTCTTCTCTGCTAAAACAAGTCGTGTTCCAATATTGCATGTTGGCATTAACGTTGTTAATATTTTCTAATCAATGCATTAAATATTTTTTTTTCCTATGAAGGTGTGTCTTAAAACTAGAAAACAAAAAAAAAATTTACTTGTATTTTGGTAGGTCATTCTAATGAAAAAGAATTGAGTTTTGCAATATTTAAAAAGTATTTGCAAAATAAAAGTCAGTATAGAAGAAGCTAGAATTTACCAGAATGCCAACAGAACCTGCAGGTTTCCTGAAGGGATTTACTTGCTTATGGTTTCCACTTACTACGGCTTAAAATGTTTCTATGTGATTTTTTATTTAGAGAAAAAAAACATCTAGAAACTCTGTACAGCTTTTGTTATGAGAGCAGACATTTAGTCTACAGATTTAATGCCAGTTAAAATACCTGGGTCTCGTAACCAGCACGGTGGCCTAGCAGCTAAAGTCCTCACCTTGAACACACCAGGAGCCCCTATGGTCACTGGTTCTAATCCCAGCAGCCCTGCTTCCCATCCAGCTCCCTACTTGTGGACTGGGAAAGCAGTAGAGGATGGCCCAAAGCCTTGGGACCCTGCACCCACGTGGGATACCCGGAACCTGGCTCCTGGCTTCAGATCGACCTAGCTCCAGCCATTGCAATCACTTGGGGAGTGAATCATCAGACAGAAGATCTGGCTTTGTAATAAAAATCAATAAATCAGGCTCAGCAGCATGGCCTAGTAGCTGAAGTCCTTGCCTTGAACACGCCACGATCCCATATGGGTGCCGGTTCTAATCCTGGCAGCTTTGCTTCCCCTCTAGCTCCCTGCTTGTGGCCTGGGAAAGCAGTCGAGGATGGCCCAAAGCCTTGGGACCCTGCACCCGTGTCGGAGACCCGGGAGAAACTGGCTTCGGATCGGTGCAGCATCGGCCATTGTGCTCACTTGGGGAGTGAATCATTGGATGGAAGATCTTCTTCTCTGTCTCTCCTCCTCTCTGTATATCTGACTTTGTAATAAAAATGAATAAATCTTTTAAAAAAATCAATAAATCTTTTTTAAAAGTGTCTGGGTCTCACAGTGAAGGGCCTGGAGTCCATCTTCCTGCTACTGGAGGGCAACAACAATGGCTCGGGTCGCTTCTGTCACCTGTGCGGGAAACCTGCACTGGGCTTCCAGCTCCTGCCTTCCGCCCAGCTGCGGGGGGAGCATGCAGAGTCAACCAGAAGATGGGAGCTCTCTCTCTCTCTCTCTCTCCAACTCTGCTGTCTGTCTAACAAACATAAATAAATGAAAAGGAAGACCCAGTTAGGATGCATATTCGCCTCTTGACTTCACTAACACACCACCCTAGGTTCTAACTTCGTATGAGACAAAATAAATCCATTAACCTGAATCTATACGTCCTTGACTTCTAATCATCAAATTATGTTCATATATATATATAAAATTATATATATTTAATAAGATTATAACCTGAATAATGTCTCTCCCATGATTTGAAATAAATGTGTATTTCTCAAGTCATAGAGGAAGAATTTAACTTTCCTGTCCATTTGGTTTGCAAGCTAGTGGTGGAAGAGAATTTATTAGACAATTAAAAATGTGGTACTGTTTTGTAGTCCAAAGGTGTCTTCATGTGCAAATAGAAATGACCTCTAGAAGCGTCACGTTAAAAGGATCATACTAGAAAAGCCTGCTGCTTAAAATAGCCTCTGCAGTGCCCGCATGTCCCAGATAGAATTTTTTTTAGAGAGAATCACCGTTCTTTATTTTCAGCGGCCTCATTCAAACAAACGGACATTACTGCGAGACGGATGAAGGGCACACCAGCCTTCAAAGGTGTGAAACTGACTTTTCTCTCCTAGGAGTACACGGTGAGGGCAAATGACTTTGAGTTTTCAAAACTGAAACTTTTTACGGGCTTAGATAGCACAGAAAAAAAAAAGTCGTATTTTCTGTGTTAGAATATGGGGTTTGTGCAATTCAAGGCTTCTGAAATTGCTTCTGACCTAAAATTATATTTCCATATGTTTTTTTAAGATTTATTTATTTTTATTGCAAAGTCAGAATACAGAGAGGAGGACAGAAAGTTCCGTCCGATGATTCACTCCCCAAGTGAGCACAATGGCCGATGCTGTGCCGATCCGAAGCCAGGAACCAGGGACTTCTTCCGGGTTACCCACACGGGTGCAGGGTCCCAAGGCTTTGGCCATCCTCAACTGCTTTGCCAGGCCACAAGCAGTGAGCTAGATGGGAAGTGGAGCAGCTGGGATTAGAACCGGCGCCCATATGAGATCGTGGTGTGTTCAAGGCGAGGACTTCAAACACTCGGATTTCAGCCACTAGGCTATGCCATGGGGCCCTATATTTCTATATTTTGATATCCCTTAGTTTTTCTCCCCAAAGATCTTTCTAAAATGTATTTATTAGACTGTAGAGAGAAAGGGTGTGGGGGAGAGAGAGAGAACATGAAGAGCGGGGGCAGGAGTCAAGAACTCTGATCTGGTCCCCAACTTGGATAGCTCGGACACGAATCCCGGGGAAAATCATGTGACTCGAGGGAGCAGGCAGGTGGCCGTGAGAGCAGACCCTCGGCCCTCAGTCAGCACCTGGCCTCCGTACCGAGCACCAGGAAGTGATGCCAGATACAAAGATGAGGTTTTCAAAGGATACCAACGTGTGCCAAGGTGCTTCCTGCACTCCCAAAGGACAAGGGTCACCCAGTTCTTATGGTGACTTCCCCCCAACCCCAATCATTAGAGAATTCATCTTCTTGTGGAAAAATGCGCAAAATGTTCCGTTAGGGGACCTTGGCTCTGGTAGCTGTGCTACATAAACTGAAACACAACGTGTCTTGAAATGTTTTCCTGAAGTGAGTACTTACTGCTCAGGGGTTATGGCTTACAAGCAGGTAGAAGCAGCGTACGTGAAAAATACAAGAAATATTATTTCTACATAGTGAAGTTTTGCTTCAAAACTTTTCTCTTTGAAATAAAATGTACGCAGTGAACTAAAGAGATTTGTTTTCTAATCAGAGAGTGTTCCGGACAGTGATTTAGTTATATTTTCCTAAGTTATCTTGATAATGGATCCTGTTTTTTTTATAAAACACATCATTAAGGAAAAAGAGGAAAGCGGTCCCGAGGTTCCGATGGATTCCTTCAGAGAAGCACTGATTTAATTCTGGTGCTCACGTGAGCAAACCCCGTGTGCAACCCAAAAAGCATTCTGAACAATAAATACACCACTGATCGTAGCTTTGACACAAATACTGTGTTCTGGGAGTTCTAGTTTTTGGATAAAAGTAATCGGTGAATTACTAGATGGGTTAAAAATCTCTGAAAATTCATTGCAGTTAACGGCATCCACCAGACTCCAAGCACGCAGCAGTTGTAACACGATGCAGTGAGAAACCATCAGGAGCAAGAAACCGCAAGGCTTCTGGTCCCAACCCTCTGCAAGGTGACACCAGCTTCCGCATCAGGAGGATTATTCCTCAACTGAAAGAACGACCATGTACCACACTAACCACGCCATGTAATGTAAGCTTTTGCGTGGAGAGTTTGGCTCGGGACGGAACTGTTGAGCCGGTTGTGAAAGCCACCTCTTTGCCTGCTGCGTGAAGTTTGAAACGATGTCTGACCGATGTCTTATTTACAGCCCAGCTTTTATACGTAGTTAAGTACACAGGGTGATTCATGTTTAAATTCTTAATGATAATCACTGATATACAGACTCCAACCTCTATTCATGCAGCTGTGTCAGCTTCATTGAAATATTTATACGATTGAGAACTTAGGAAACACCAGAATTAAAAATGCAACTTTTGCCAAACTGTTAAAATTCCAGTTTCTAAGCAACAAACATTCAGAAGGAGTGTGTTTAGTTAGAAAGCTCTTCAGCACTGCTGGTTTTCCTGGAAGCAGAAGACTGGATACGGGGCATTCTTGACCACGTGATTCCTGAGAGCGTGCTCTTAGGGTAAGAACGCAGGGACGTGACACCGAAATGTCACTGGACATCCACTCCAACCTGACCCCTCAGGGATGTCCCCTTCACCCTGACCCCTCAAGATCATGTATATTTACAATGTGAATGGCAACACGGAGCTGCCTGCTCCTCATCTGTCAGCCACTGGCCTGGATCACCTTCCCCTCCCAGGGAGAGCCGCCCAGGTACCTGCAGGCAGGCTGGCTGGTTGCTAGCAGCCTAGATCCCCCCCGAGAGCCATCTGCGGCGTTGGCTGGCTTGTGGGCAAGGCATGCAGCAATAGCGTGGTACCCTGGGGAGATCTGAGCAGCGGAGCTCTGCCCGGTGCGGCCTTAGTGTGGCCACGGGAAAAGACACGTGGCGTGCACAGCATGCCACAGAAGAGAAACACAAGAAACGCTGTCACTCAGTAGTGACACTCAGTAGACGTTCCGTGACACGATGCCGGACTTGATGGGCGTGCTGCTCCACCGCACTTCTCCTAAGGTGTGACGTCATTTAGGGAGAGCCAGCAAGTGAGCGAAGAAATGGCACTTAGTGCCATGAGGACAGCTAGGACACACTCACCTCTTTCTTCACCTCTTCTTCATCTTCTAGGGTCAACGCAGCCAGCTGCTTGGCTCTCTGTTCCATGAGATTCACGTAGCGGATGGGGTTTGACAAAGCTTCAATCACATCTAAACCAGGACAAGACGTTTTAGCTCTACGGCCTTTGAGTGCTGACTGCTTACTCTGCCTCTTTATCTCCTTCCTTCCTTCCATGGATTCACTCATCACCTTCTACCAACCCATCCATCCGCTCATTTATAGTATGACTCTTTCACCTCGTCATAGAACCGTTTTCTCATCTACCCCACACTGTGGATCTAGCTGAGTAAGGACAGACCTCAAGAAGAGACGCAGCCAAAGGGATTCAATGCTGACAGCCAAATAGGTCAGACTCACTTGGTATGCCTCAATATTTCAGAGTCGCTCAATTCTTTGGGGGAGTTTCCTGGACGGCAGCAATAGCCCATGCATGTGTTTTGTTTCAACCAAAAGGTCTTTCGTAAATGGACACATTTCCCACAAAATTCCCATAGATTTTTGGAATAGCCCTTTGATTTAGGGATGGCAGTACAGCTACCCAGAGTTAAGTCTGGCTTCTATCTTAGGGTGGACCGTGAGTGCCAAGTTTTGCTGTCATTTGCAGTAGTCCCCAGCGTCCCATGTCAAGATCAATTTGGTGCTACAAACATTGAAATGTGTGATTCCTAGGGGTAGGCTTTTGACCTAGTGGCTGCGACATCACTTTAGACATCTGGAATCTGTGTCAGGCTTCCTGAGTGTGAGTCTCAGCCTCAGCGTCCTGCTAACGCACGGCCTGGTTAGGCGGAAGAGAGAATGTGCCAATGGCTGCAGCACGGAGGGCCCTGCCACCCGTGTGAGGGACCTGAATGGAGTTCCTGGGTCGTGGCTTCAGGCTGAATTATATTCTGTAACTTGTGGGCAATCAGGGAGTGAATCAGCACATTGCAGCTGGGTCTGTGTCATTCTCTCAAATTAAATATATATATATATATACATATATACATATATATATATTTATATAATTTTTGGCTGACATCATCAAGTTACTTTCCCTGAACCTCTCACTCATCAAAAGCATCAGTGTTCTAAATCTAGCTGAAGGCACATTTGACACACAGGGCTAGAGAAGACCCATCGTGCTGGGTCCCTTGGGAAGGGCTGGGCCCTTGGAGATAAGGTATCCTTGAACAAATCTAGCCTAAAACTGAGGAATCGGGATTTCAACGAAAACATAGAATTGAAATGCAATCTCAAAGGCTTGAGCCATTTATCTCAAAGCACACATATCAAAACAGAGTTGATTCTTAGGCCCATATAAAGCCATTGGATGGTCCAATTTTTCTTCTGCTAAGCCACGGATGCCCGGACGGGCCAGACGGAAACGTGGCTGCGGAGGCTTGCCTACCTGCGTATGTATCTGGCACGTAGTCTTTGACTTCGATGTAGACGAAGACGGCGGGCAGCATGAGGGGCTGGTTCCTCTCGTTTCTCAGGCAGATGTAGTGATAGCCTGGGCAGGAGGCACAGCAAGAGACCACGTGTCACATCATTTGTACACATGCGTGAGGTGTGCACGCTGGGTCTGCACGACACACAGGTCAGTTCCTTCTCATTTTAATCCCATGGCTTTGAGACAGAGGGTGTTAATTTCCTCACCCGATAGGAAAATCCTATTGAATCTGGTATTTTTTTTTTCAATGAAGTTTTGCCTATCTATGGTGAAGAGTTAATCAACACGCTGCAACATGCCACAAAGACACCAGACTGTCAGATCTGAATCATTGGACGGCCCCGGTTACAAAACAAAAGGACCAATCCGTGAAGAGCTAGCTTCTTGTAGAATTTTTCGTGTTCATCTAAGGGAGTGATGATGCGACACGTTCTCCACACACTCTGCATACCTGGCCTGATGGCTTGCACTGGCAAGATCCGGTGGCCAATGAATTTACCCCCTTCTTCATACACTGCTATCCTCAGGCAGGCCAGGGAAGGAAGGACGACCTGTGGGGACAGGAGAGTCACCTGGTTATGGGAATCAGGGATTTCAAGAAAAGATGACAAAAGTATTGTGGAGGTGGATTCTGCATTTTCCAAATTCAAGTAGAGGCTCCTACTGACTTAATCTGATTTTTTAAAAATAGGCCATTTTCTTCTTACATATTCTATACTCAAACGCAAAGGAGGCTGTATGGTCTTATCACTACACAGTTTTAAATCCCATGTCAAGTTTATGCAACCAACTATCTCTTTAAATTTGATATTATATGTAATTCTATGGAAATAAATAATAAAATTTATGTTATATATTATATAGAAATTATATATTCACCTGCCAGCTATTTCCTACATGTTGTTAATGTATTTATTTACTCAAGGACTCTTCAGCTAGAATATGAAAACAAGCCGGAGCGTAGACAGCTTTCATGATCATTCGTTTGCAGAAGGCCATCTTTGTAGATATTGTGGCAAGGTTAAAGGTAAAGGGCTGTCTATCTACTCTGGCTTTCTGCTGGTCTTATTTTCAGAATTCCTTAGGTAACAAGCTTGTGTGAAAAAGGTCTGCTTACTGCACCTGGCACAGTAGCCTAGTGGCTAAAGTCTTAGCCTTGCATCCACAGGGATACCATATGAGCACTGGTTCTAATCCCGGCAGCTCTACTTCCCATCCAGCTCTCTGCTTGTAGCCTGGGAAAGCAGTCGAGGATGGCCCAAAGCCTTGGGATCCTGCACCTGTGTGGGAGACCCTTAAGAAGTTCCAGGCTCCTGGCTTCGGATTGGCTCAGCTCCAGCCTTTGGCAGTCACTTGGGCAGTGAACCAGTGGACAAAAGATCTCTCTCTCTGTATCTCCTCTCTGTAAATATGCTTTTCCAACAACCAAAAAAAAATAAAATAAACCTTTAAAAAAATTTGCTTTCTGGTGAACACAGGTACAAGAACTCAGTGGGGGTCAAGGATTTTAACTCAACAGAATTCAGACAAGGCAAGATGACTGCGAATCAAAGTTTAATTAGGATTCTTCTTTTTTTTTTTTGGTAAGATTTTATTGTTTAATTTTACTGGGAAGACAGATTTTCGGAGAGAAGTAGAGACAGAGAAAAAGATCTTCTATTTGCTGATTCACTCCCCAAGTGATAGCAAAAGCCAGAGCTGAGCCTATGCGAAGCCAGGAGTCAGGAGCTTCTTCTGGGTCTCCCATATGGGTGCAGGGTCCCAAGGCCTTGGGCCATCCTCGACTGCTTTCCCAAACCACAAGCTGGTTGGGTTGTGGAGCAGCCGGGACATGAACCAGTGTACATACGGGGTCCCTGTGGTTGCAAGGCGAGGATTTTAGCTGCCAGGCTGCCACGCTGGGCCCAGGGTTCTTTCTGAGGGGAGAATGTGCTTCTTTCCTGCAGCCCCTCTTGTCTTTTGCTTCTCACCTTGCCTCGCTGCAGTTCCAGTGACAGTGTCTCCCTGATCCCTCGTCCTGTTGAGCTGATCTGAGTTATACCTCCACGTCACTCTATTCCAAATGAACCCTACTAAAATCAATTTATTTAAGGAAATATTTTGAAGCTACAAATACATGATTAAGAGAGTTTCCAGAATGATATAGCAATGGGCAGTTTTTTTCTACATGCTTTGCTGATGGAGGCAGGGGGTGGGGAGGGGTGTCATTGTAGAACCCCCGAAAAATGCAGTTAGACCTCAGACCAAGAGCAGGAGACCAACCTTCTTGAACACAATGGGTTCTTCTTCCCAGACAGGATTTACAGCGTTTCCTTGTGACGTCTTGGTCTTAAAGGCCTTCCTCCTCGTGTCCACCGGCAAACCAAACATATCCACTTCCACATAAGTTCCAACTTTCTTATCAGACAGAAACTGACCAGAAATAATCTGGAAAGCAATAGAAAAGGAAGTCTTGACAAACCTTGAAAATAAAGATTGTTTCAGGAGCATACGTGCTGTTGGCTCAATGCTGGAGCACAAGCGACATGAAATAGAAGCATCCATAGAAATGTGATTCCTATTTTCCTTAAGGAGTTAGCACAGAAAGGTTGAAAATCAGAACACAGTCATTGATACAAAGTAGTTAACAGCAATAAGTGGCAAAGGATCTGCTTTAAGCTGTAAGACCTTTCACTGCTCCTGTTGGATATTTCCACAACTGTAGATTTTCTTTGCTTGGCTACTTGACTAATGAATGCCGTGGACTCAAACGACATTCTGATAAAACCTCCATTCACAAAATGTCTCCCAAGTCTGGCTCTTCTTCTCACCTAATTTTCATTATCAAAGAGATTTGTCAATCGCACAGTTAAAGGGAGGCTTTATCCTAGAGATGGTAGCACCCGGGAAAGGTGCTGAAGGACCCAGCCGGGTGCATTTGGGCTGTAACACTAAGCTTACTGCTGCATTGAAGTTCAGGTCAGTGAAAGGAAGAGAGCTTCCCAGATTATGGCTGGGCCAAAGACGAGAGCATGAATAGAAGCATGAACACGGCCACATGAGGACAACTTAAGTCAATACCAACTCCACGCCCTGATGGCTAGAAGCTCTAAACAAGTTAGAGGGAAGGCATTGAGACATCTCTCTGGACGAGTCCACGTACAATGCATTTCCCTAGGTTGTGGTCTTGGTTTTTTTTTGTGTGAGGCTGCTAGCAGTAACCTCTGTTGAACTAGAGGACCTACATGATAACCATTTAGCTTGTGTTTCAAAGCACGTCATTGAGTAACTTCGGAAGAGTCACTTTATGTAAGTCCCACTGGAAAATCAGATGCACCGACACTTTCACACGCTTAAGTTGTCTGATCAAAGAAGAGTTTTCAGTGATCGACACTAAGTCACAGCATTCTCATTGCTGAGACAGAAGGGCAGAGGACTGTGTGAGGTCACGAGTCCATCCTGGCACCATGCAGCCAAGTTGCAAAGTCAAAATGAAGGCCACCTGGACAGACGCACTTGGCTCTCGCTGTCCTCTCCGAGGCCGGCAGGACTCCACTGTAGTCTGGCCTTTGCATTCAGGGGATGCTGACAGATTAAAGCCGGATATGTATTCTGGGCAGAAGCAGCCAGTCACACGTGTCTGGAATTCAACTAGTTCTCCTTTACAACCCAACATATTTCCCCCACTGCGTGTAAGTGGTTATCATTGTCTCCGGTGTCACAAAATTGTCACAACCAAAAATATGTAAGCAACTACAGACAAAACAAGATGAATCTGCAAAGTCAAAACCATAACGAATTCACGCCATCTACAGTAACTGACAAGGATTCTAAGAGCGCCTTCTCTTTGGACATGATGCTTTTAAGTTTATCTCAACCACACATGACAGGAATCAAGCGTTTTTGGTTGAAAACAGTCCTCTAAAACAAACATAATTATTAATATAAATATAATATAAAGCTCAACTTGTGCCTGTTCCAGTTCTTGTGTCACTGGTAAATGACATAACTGTGAAACAATCTATTGGAATTTTATTTCAAAACCTTTGATACAAAGTGACACAACTTTAACACGAACATTGTTCAGCTACTCTGATAGCAAATGTTACTAAATATTTTCATCGTTTTTCAAATGCCTTGTATTAAGATCAATTGAAAAAACAGCATTATGCCCAATAAAAAATTTCTTAGCGCTACAGCTATTCTATTAGCAGAAAATAAATGATATTTTAAAAGTTACATGAAATTCTAGTTCCACATCCAACGATCACGAAATTTGTACATAAAGCTCTTTACAAAAACAATATTTCCTTTCATGACATTAATACTATTTTCTTAGAGTTAAGAAAACCATATCTGTTGTAACATCCATCTCAATGATAGAAGAAATGATTTGGAATTAATTTTAGGGTCACGAATTTATACTTAGTAAGACAACACTTTCTTATCATCAATACACGCTTCAAAATCTTGGAACAGCCTGCTAGATTTTTAAATCCATGGTATGAAAACCATGAACCTTCATTTAATATTTAATAACTTATACTTCTTTTTTCCTCTAAGTTTGCTTGGAACTAATGAGGGGAAAATGCCAAGCTAGGTCACTAACTTTCACATGCATTCCCTGATGGGATATTACACGAAAAGAGAACTGTCCACAGAGTGAGATTCACCAACCACCGACTTGGGTTACGATCTTCAGCCCCTTTATCGCATTCCTCCAACCTGGGAAAGCCATCCGTGTTTTTAGCCAGCTGCTAAGCTGTTAGTAACTTCATCCACTACTTTTAAAGAGTAAGGTACTTGGTCATGCAAGGTAGGTAAGATGCCAGCTCTCCTTAGGGACAGTTTTGTACAAACCTTCACTGACAAAGTGTTGGCCACGATGCCATCCACGATGCCCTCGGTGAACGGGTCAAAATGCTTGTCCGGTCTCCGCATGAACTCCGGCTTTAACCTGTAGCCACTCTTGCCGTTGTACTCGTACATCCCCATGTTGATCTGCATAGCCAGGTCTGAGTATCAAAAATGAAAACCTTGTGAATGACTTTACAATTGGAACAAGAAAGGCAGACTGTAAATCAGGATGGTATTACAGTCCATTCCTACGGCAGAAGTAGGTGTGCAGTTCATTGTAGGAAATGCAGGCTTAAAAGTTGAGCTGTAAACTGTAACACCTTTGCTGAAATGATTCAATTTCAGTAATAAACATGCCAATGGGCTAGTATATGTCTATTTGACCATTTCAAATAGATTTTTCACATATAATACATTCATTAAATATTTCTCTGGTTATTTTTGTCAGCTACATGAGTTTCCTTTGAGTAGATACATTGGAATAAGCATATTTGATCAATTCACTTTTGGAAAGTTATGCTTCATCCGATTTTTTTCAGTTTTTTAACTCAATCTTTTATGTATGATTTCCCTGAAATAATACTTTACATTAAAGTCTTAAAGGCTCTACTAACGAAGACCTTCAACACCTAAACCCAGAAAGATCAGGCATATATTTTATTGAATATTGTTGCGGTGACAAAAATCTTTTTAAAAATTTATTTACAGAAAAACATAGGCAATGGTCCCATTGGCCGACTCATTTCCCAAACGCCCATGATGACTGGTGACCGGAAGCCAGAGCTGGCGCCCAAAGACTCGGTCCAGTCCCCCAGGAGGGAGGCAGGAACCCCAAGACCTGAGCCGTCACTGCAGCCTGCCGTGGGCTATGATGGCCAGAAACAGGAGCCGGGATTTGAACTCCTGCCGTGGTCTGCCACAGCCAGAAACTAGAGCCAAGATTTGAAGCCAGCTACTCACACAGGAGCTGTGCATCTTAAATCTCCAGGATAAATCCTTACTCCTTAAACCGATTTATACTCTGCTAAGGCACATCTTTACAGATGAATGTCTGTACTTTCACGCAGAGTTGATGCTATAATTCTTTGGTTTCTACTGCATACAAAGAAATTATTTTTAAAATGTTTATTTCTGTGATTACTTACAATCAAAATCTATTTACACATTGATTTTTTTCCCCAAGAGACAAGAACTATTGATCCATGGTTTTTGGATAGCATCTAAAAGTATATAAATACACGACTTTTCAAGAAATTATTGAAAAACATGTATACATATTCAAAAAGCCCACACATTCACAGCCTTCTACCATAGCAGCATTCCTGGTTGTTTCGGTATTTTTTTTCCCCTTGTACCATTTTGGATTTGCTATTTTTCTACAACAAATCTATATTTCCTTTAAAAAGCAGGAAAACCATTCCGTAAAAACAACGCGAAACCAGCACAAATAAAACCCCGTCGGTACATCAGTCACGAAAATGCCTCAGTTTCCCCAGTCCGCATTTTCGGTGTGGCCAGTTTCCCCCCCTGCAGTCCTGCGATCGCTTCCCGAGCACCGTGACCCGGGCCACTCACCCACGGTCTGGAAGTTGAGAGCCACCATCTGACAGCCCGCGTTCCAGAAGAGCTGAGGCATGTAATTGGAGGAGTCCACGCGCGTGCCTTTGGGGTAGATCCGACTAAGCTGCATCTTGTTATATCTGGACCATCACGTTAAGTAGTGAATACAATGACACAAGCGGTTTGTACTGGCAGCCAACTGTCTACACCGCGTGGCCTCTCGGCGCCGGAGGGGGACACGCACAAAGCCATTCTGAAGAAACCCAACCGGCGTGCTCGTTCAACAGGACCACAGCACCGCCTTGGCACAGCCTTGCGGGCAGAACTGCTCACGTCGCAAACGGGACGGAGTCAGAGTCACTGGGACGTTGTGCGCGTGCTGGGGATGCTCTGAACGGCCAGGTGCACATGAGGAGACTGGGGTGTGCTTGTTACGGGATGGGGTGAGCCTTCACCATTGATAACAAGATAAACACAGCACAGCAGTTTCTGATCCTGCTTCCTATCATTCGTTTGATCATAAGCAAGTTGGGAATCTTAAACAATTCCACATGGTCCTTATTTAAGATTTATTGGACCCAGCATCATAGCCTAGTGGCTAAATCCTTGCCTTGAACGCACCGGGATCCCAAATGGGCACTGATTCTAAAGCCGGTGGCTACTCCTCCCATCCAGCTCCCTGCTTGTGGCCTGGGAAAGCAGTCAAGGATTGCCCAAAGCCTTGGGATCCTGCACCCTCATGCAAGACCTAGAAGCAGTTCCTGGTTCCTGGCTTCAGATCAGCTCAGCTCCAGGTAGTGTGGCCACAGGGGGAGTGAACCAACAGATGGAAGATCTTTCTCTTTCTTGCTGTCCCTCTGCCTTTATTTATTGTGAAGAGAAAGAGAAAGAGAGAGGCTGCCTCTGGTGGTCTGCTCCCCGGAATGGCGGTAACACTTGTGGCTGGGCCGAGCAAGTCCAGAAGCCAGCAGCTACACCTGTGTCCCCCATAAGGGCGCCAGGGACTCAAGCACTGGAGCCGTCAACTGCTGCTTCCCAGCAAGAGCGGCAGGGACATGGATCAGACGTGCAGCACAGCCAGGACTCACACCGCCACTCGCGTATAGCATGCGAGTGTCCCAAGTAGCAGCTTCACCCACTACACCACAACACCTGTTAGCTTGAAAACATGACTGGCAAGTTCCGGGACTAAACACTTGAGCTCCATCTGAGTTAGGCAAATACAGCTGAAATTTCCAAAGTGTGGGACTTGCTGCTGCTTGACGGTGAATAAGATATTTCATTTTTCCGTGCCGTGGTCTCACCGAGCAAGCAGATTTAACTGCTACTACATCATTGGATGATTCTGAGGCCTGGGTTAAGATACACATAATAAAAGCTCCACTGCATAGCCAATTATAGACACTAATACTAGTGATCTTTATAACAGGACTTTGGCTACAAGCTTACTTATTTTCTTATTGTTACCTAGGTAACTGTTACTGTAGGACTGACTTCATGAAATTGAGATCTTTGGAAATTTTCATGGTGTTTTATTTTTTAAAAGATTCATTTATTTTTATTACAAAGTCAGATATACAGAGAGGAGAGACAGAGAGGAAGATCTTCCATCTGATGGTTCACTCCCCGAGTGAGCGTAACAGCCAGAGCTTGCTGATCTGAAGCCAGGAACCAGAAGCGTCTTCCGGGTCTCCCACACAGGTGCAGGGTCCCAAGGCTTTGGGCAATCCTTGACTGCTTTCCCAGGCCACAATCAGGGAGCTGGATGGCAAGAGCGGCCACTGGGATTAAAACCAGAGCCCATTTGGGATCCTGGTGTGTTCAAGGCAAGGATTTAGCCACTAGGTTACCGCACCAGGCCCCGTGGTATTTTACTTTCAAAAAAAGTTTCAGGGTCCGGTGTGATGGCTCAATTGGCTAATCCTCTGCCTGCAACTGCCAACATCCCATGTGGGTACTGGTTCATATGCCACCTGATCCACTTCCTAGCCAGCTCTCAACTTCTGGCCTGGGAAAGCAGTGCAGAACGGCCCAAAGCCTTGGGACTCTGCACCCATGTGGGAGACCTGGAGGAAGACCCTGGCTCCTGGCTTCCAATCAGCTCAGCTCAGGCTATTGTGGCCATTGGGGGAGCAAACCAGTGCATGGAAGATCTTTCTCTGTCTCTCCATCTTTCTGTTAATCTGCCTTTTCAATAAAAATAAACAAATATTGTTAAAAATTTTCATGGCATGCTCCGTTTCCTTTGGGTTCACGAATAGCAATAAACTTTTTGCGGATAATCACGAAGCCATTGTCAGTTACATTTATCAACATTAATGTAATCACCATCACAGTTACTTGTATTGATGCAATTTTTTTGAAATTTGGAAGGGCAGTCACAGTAAAGGAAAGACCGACAGTGAGAGAGAGAAAACTCTTGCACCTTGTGGTTCACTCCCCAGTTGACTACAACGGCCTGGCTGGGTCAGGCAGGAGCCAGGAGGCTGGAGCTCTACCCAGCTCGCCCGCATGGGCCGCAGGGTCTAAGTATGTGGGGCATCCTGCCCGACTCCCCCAGGCGCATCGGCAGGGAGCTGGGACAGAAGTGGAGCGGCCAGCGTCCCAGCTGAAGCTCAAATGCTTCACCTGCTGTGCCATGGCACTGCTCCCCCCGCCAGTTATTTTGAAAACATATACATTGCATATACATTATGTGAAGTGCCCTGCCTCATACGTCAATTTATAGATACATGACGGACACAGACCCACCTTCCCTATGTCACACCGAATGTAGGCAGCAAATCATAAAGCTAGTACAATTGTTTCGTTTGCGAATGACAGAAGTAAAGGTTAAGCAAATCGTCAAAGGGCACAGCAAGGAACGATGTGAAGGTGACCTTCAAGTTGGGGCTTTCGGCTGGCATTGTGGCACAGCAGTGAAAGCTGGCACCTCTGACGCAGAGTTCCCTTATGCCAAGGCTAGCTCACAGGTCTCACACCCCAGGCCACCGCACTGCCCATGTGCCCAGTCATTTTAGGCGTCTTTGTGTTTCTCAAGCAAGCCATACACGGATTTCGTTGTATTAATTAAGTAGTCAAATCAAGGATACTCCACGAATTCCACCGGAGATTTTGTAAGCTGCTCAAGTCCTTTGGTTTCCACGAAGGAAGACATTTCAAAACTCTTATTTCTTTCTGGATGAAATAACAACAATAACACGAAAGTGAGAAATACAACGAAACAAGTCACGGTGTTACGATAGAAGTATGCGAATGTTTCACAAAGGGTAATTCATGCTGTACATGATTTTCACTCACGGCCTTTCTCTGGGAGCCGCTGGCCTAGAAAACAGGTTGAACCTGTGACATGGACCACTCAGCTCAGCTCTCCCTCTGCTGTGCGATTTGGGAATATGAGTGAATTTTCAATGCATGTCACTGGATTCCAACCACCTCCTTCTGTTGATGGTATCTTTGCACACAAGTAGTCCTCAAAATCGGTCCTACCAACCGACCCTTGTGGTCGTGACGTTCCTTGGAAAAGTTTAGCATGATCTTTACAATGGAGGGACTCTCTCCTCTTCATTCCCTCCAAAATTAAAACTGTATCCTCTCCCCTCACTGGCTCCAGAGAGCCTCACCGAATTCCTCCAGTTCGCTCAACTTCTCCGTGTATCGTAAATCTACTTTCCCTGAGCTGTTTTAAGCTGTTAGTGAAATCAACGTTAATTCAGAGTGCTCCGTGAAATGTATCAGTATTCTTTTTGAAACTGGGAAATGACGTAATAAACGAGAAAGAAAGACCTTGTTTGTGGGCCTGTCTGGTTCTGATGCACGCAAATGCACCAGCTCCTGCCCACACTTGCCTGCTGGTCTAGAGGTTTGCACTAATAACCAGGAGCAGTGATGTGGCAGCCAGGCAAGGTGCCAGTGGTATGCCACTTCAGGATATTACAAACTTAGCCATCCTTTTGGGGGCAAAAAAAAAAAAATCAGTATTTTAAGCATCAAAAATGTTGGCGTCACCATTGGCAGGTAAGTTCTCTGTTGCAGAGAGCTAGACATGAGCCACTAAGCTGGGGCTCTCCGTGCAAAACCATTTAAGCACTAGTGTGCTGTGTGGATTCAGTTGGCTCTGCAAAGCCATCTATCAGCAGGGACAGGGTCTTGGTGCCCAAGAGGAGATTCCTGCACGAGACAGGTCAGTCCTGAAAGCGCCGTGGCTGTGACGGCGTCTTTTATTTCCACGCAGATATAAACATTCAGGAATGCACTCTTCTCCCCACACCGAGCGAAGAGCGTATTTTCCTCTGCATGCAGTGGGGGATGCCTGGTTGTATGTGAAGGTAACTGTTTATTCTCCCAGATATACAAAAGGAACATGTGCACACAGGGGAATCGGCTCTATTTTTTCACGGCTGGGGTTCTGGAAAACGGGGTAGTTAGCCCCCATCCCTCTCACTTAGATTCTGTATTGTTGCAAACAAAACACAAACGTAAGATGTTCAATGTCCTGTCTGCTGATCTAGTATCTTTCAGACCACCAATGGCGTCTAGCCCTGTTACCTGCTTGAGGGGAACACCTGCTCCTTAGATACGTGAAGATAGCAAGGTTGCACATTTAAGATTTCAGCACGCAATAGTTCTACTACAGGTAGCGTTGTTTGGTTCAATTATCTTGCATAGAACACATGAGCACTAAATATTCCAACAGGAGTTTTGCTCCCTGAAAACTTACTTTTAGAAATTTCAAATGACTCAAACTTCACTGGCTGGATGTAGTTCACCAGGTTGGACATTTCCTCCGTGGCCATGGCCTCACTGCCTGCTGTGCCCTGTAAGCGGGAAGACAAAGCAGGCTTGCATTAGCAAGACTTAGGGTTCATTTCCCTGCCCAGGCGCATGCGACTCCAACGGGAAGAAACCCAGCTCCGTTCTTCCGAAGATGGTGAGTGACCGATGGCAAGTTCATTGCCGGAGAAAGAACACGCAAAACATACAGGCTGAGTTTCCCTCTTCTGACATGTTCGGAACCAGCCACACTTTGGATTTGAAATGGTTTGGGAGTTTTAAATATTTGCATCTACATCATGAGGAGTCTTGGGGATGGGACCCAAATCTAACCATGAAATTGACTTTTGCTTCACGTATACATTCTGCACACGGCCCCCAGGCGTCTTATAGACTGCTTTCAGTAAGACATGGCATTCAACAGTTTCATGGTGTGTCATTTTCCACGCGTGGAGCCACATCCGTGCTCCATCGTTTTGACTTTTGGAGTAGCCTGAGTTTTGGGTGTGGGGTTTAGAGCTTCTCAGCGCATGCCTCATTTTACACAAGTGAGGAGTGCGGGGAGGGAAGTTTAGAGGCTGCTGGCAGTGTGGACAAGGACCACCTGAGAGCCGAAACCCAGATCCCTCCAGCCACTCTCGGGAGGTCAGACCCTGCATTTCAACAGAGGACTCAACTTCACATTCACTGGAAACCACCCGGGTGTACGTCAGCACGCTCAGCAGGCCATCCATCAGTGACGGTTATGGTTAATGATTCCAGAACTACATAGAATGAGGAAGGTAGCCATTGGATGAACTGAAGATGGTTAGTGCTAACAACATTAATAATAATATGGGGAAGTGGACCCAGATAACTATTATTATTATTATAACTATTATTTTCCCATATGTTCTTCAATCTCTCCCTTTTTTGGTTCATTCTGAGCCCTTTAGCAGGATGGGCAGCGTAGGGGTCAGGAGCTCACATTCTAGAACAAACTGTCTGATTTGAAATCTGCAGATGCTGAGTTAGAAACTCTGCAGTCTCCAACAGTGACGGCACGCTTCAGTACTTTAGTTCACTCATATTTAAAATTAGGATCACACCAGCCCCGCCGGAGTCTAAGGAGCTTTTTTATGATCTAAGTTCATGTGCACCAAGGAGCTCAAATCATCGCCTTGCACCCAGGACACTGTCCTTTCACTGTAGCGTACCTGCCATCACACAGCACTTGGATGTGCTTTGACACGGCTCCCGCGCAGGGCACAGAGCGATCTGCCACTTGGACAAGATTTCTCCAACTCCCCCAACAGCCAGGGCAGAACCAGGCACGGGGGACCCAGTTGAAGCCTCCTGCCTAGTAGCAGATACTCAAATAAGTGAGTTTCCACCTGCTGACTCCCAGCGGGCACGTTAGCCGGAAGCCAGAGCACAGAACAGAGCGACTGCGGGATGGGATGTGAGCGTCCCCAGCCACGTCTCAAGGACTTGCAGCTAGTGGCCACCCCCGATACAGATTTCAATAAAATAGAAAAAAAAAAAAACCCGCAGCAGGTGAGCACAAAACACCCCTCTATGCAGAGAGCTGATATTTCCTCGTGTCAGTTTTCCCACCGAGGGTTCTAGTTGTAATATTTAGGTTAAATACCAACTGCAACATAGGGATTTGCAAACAGACCATTCAATTAGTAAGGCAGTTCTCAAACGATCAAGAATCATCAATGAAAAAAAAAATCACATACAATCGAAGCCACTCTCAGGCAGATCTATTTTACGAGACTTGGAAAGTCTCCTTGGAAATTCAGTAGACATGGATGAGGGGAACATAATGACTCAGAAGTTTAAACTACGTTGAAGGAAACGACAGGAAGTGCAAGCACGAACAGTGACTCGTTATTTTAAGCTGCACTGTGAGGCTGCCGACACTGCAAGGGCCAGCTTCCCGCAATCTGACAGCCAAGTCCCGCAGATGCGGCCCAGGCACCTACCAAAGGAAATTCTAAATCCCCAGGGGACGTGCCATTGATTTTCTTCTGTGCCATTACTATTTTTTGGTTGAGGAAGTTCGGGCTAATGATGGGATTAACTGCATGTTTCTGAACTTCTGTCCAAGCTCTAGACATTCCCTGGATTTGGGGACTAGTCCAAAATCCCACTAATTGCTTCAAAATCTTGAAGCCGTTGCCGGCTCGCGCACATGTGCTCTTTTGGCCACTAGATGGCAGAAGGACACCGTGGAATACGCTCAGGGGGCTGGACCAGGGCAGAGCTGGAAGGCCCCGTCGGTGCTCACCTCGTCCATGGAAGACTTCTTACAGTCGTCATCATCGTCATCATCATCACTCTCTGTGTCCGCTTCCCCTGTCAGGTGCAAACAACACAGTCAAAGCTCTGTGAAAAACAAGAGTTCCCCGAGGATGGCACCTTCCCCCCCCCAAAAAAAATCCTTTTTTTTTTTTTTAAAGTTTTCAATGGTATCAGTGATGGAGAATCTAAGGATATTTTAAATGATTTCTTTCAGAAGCAGAGAGGTCTCCCCTCCCCTGGTTCGTTTCCCAGATGTTTGGGCTGGGTCAGGATCGTAATCCCGCGTGGGAGGCAGAGGCTCGGCCACACTGGCCATCACAGGGCTGCCTCCCGGGCGAGCTTTTTCTAAACAGGATGCATAAATAAATACCATTTAAAATGTTCAAGTTCTACCAACAGTGTTTCTCTGAACATTTTTTTTTTCTGTATATGGTTTCAATAATAAAGAGAATGCCACATTGCTCCCTTCTGAGGGAGGGTTTGCTCACCATATTTTGAGCTCTCCAGCCTCTTTGGGGGAGGTTTAATTTCTGTGAATCCTAAAACGGATAGGGCCTGACTCGGCCAAGTTGTCCCTTCGTTTTTCAAGCTCTCACTAGCCAGTGCTTGCCCGTAACCCAGCAAGCTCCCGTGCATCACTTGCAAAAACTCAGAGGACTCAGAGGTGTAAGGCGGCCGGAGCTGTGGGGCCGTGGCAACACAAACAAGCGCACGCAAACTGCTGGGCACCCCACTACTTGTTGGGAAGGTTGTATGGGGTCCACGGCCTTTACACAATGCACACACCGAGAAACTCGCAATATGACATTCTGAAGGAAAGGGTGAGATTGGCGAATAATCCTTAAATAGCATCCCGCTTGAAAACATAATCCAAGCAAATGCAGTTCAACGTTTAGCTCAATGGACGCTTCTGCCAGGTTACATAATTACATTCGTGCTTACATTTATACCCCAATCTGTCATCATATGGGCCTGGGCTTCCGCTAGACCCAATAACATCAGCTAGAAAACAAATATTTTTTCAAGGAAAAAGTAAAGGCAAATCAGTTGCTTGAGTTACTTTTAGCGTTTGGGGTTCACACATGTAGTGCCCCAAGCAGCCCAGTAGAGGGCGGCATGGGCTCAGTTATGGGGCACCCTGCTTGCCCAGTACCTCCCCGCCAGCTCCCTCAATCTCAACACGGGGCCCCCAATATTCAGGTTTCCATTTGACTAACAAATTAGTAGTATGAGTAAGCAATGAATTAATGAAATACCTTAGGGAGAAAAACCTGCCAGGGAAAAGGGTTGGGGACCAACAAGGGTTGTTGCTCATGGCTTGTTTATTTTAAAAAGCCACATAAATTCATTTTAGGATGTTTATTTTTGCTAATGAACAAAGTGACTCAATTATCCCTTTGAAGAAAAATGTAACTCATTTGAGGGACATTTTTTTTTAGGGTCTGGCCACTTACATATTTTACTACCAAAGTTTTGTTCCAAGCTTTCTATTATTTTTGATCACTTTTTTAATCAGAGGGAAGGTTCTTTTCATCAAGCAATTTAAGAAGCTGTGAGTAGATTGTTTTATGAAGTGTTTCATGGGACACAATGTATCAGTGTCTGACACTGACACATCAGAATCACTGACTTACATCTTGTCACTTAAACGGGAAATGAGAAGTTTGTCTTCCTTTTAGAGTATTATAAGCACAGGGACCTAGGTTTTTTCTCTTATAAGATGCAGAAAAATTTTTATTAGTTTTTAAATTAACATATGGTAATTGCACATACTTATGGAACTCCTTTGCTAATCTCTGGAGGCATTTGGGTGAATTTCATTGAATTTAAAAAAGGGGGGGAGGTGCTGCGCTGGTGCTGTGGCATGGTAAGTTAAGCTTCCCACCACAAAGCTGGTATTCTGTATGAGTGCTGGTTTGAGTTCCAGCCGCTCCACTTCTGATCCAGCCCTCTGCTAATGTAGCATGGAGGGCAGCAGAGGACGGCCCCAGACCCTGGGCCCCCAGCCACGTGACCCTGGGCCCTGCACCCACGTGACCCTGCGCCCCCACCCACGTGGGAGACCTGGAAGCAGCTTCTGGCTCTCCTGGATTCAGAAGAGCCAAGTTCAGTTTATTAGAGGAATGAACCAGTGAATGGAAAATCTCTCTCTCTCTCTGTCTCTCTCACTCCCTTTCTCTCTGTCTCTCTGGAACTCTGCCTTTCCAATAACAATGAATACCTCTCTTTTAAGAAATTATTTTACTTTGCTCTAGTTCTTTAGGACAGGGAGACCGTCAAACGGTTGAATCCTGGACCAGGCAACTGGCCAACAGGGTCCATGCTAAGAAAACTGGCTTTGAAATGGGATCCATTTCATGTTTTTCAAGTTCTCTGGGTTCCCAGTACCACAAACAGCTACAAATTAAGTGGCCCGTGAGCAGTGCCCTTTAATGAAAGGTCTACCTACCCATTAAGATGTACAAAATCACCAGGGAAATAAATTATTATTGCACAACAGACTCTGGGACTAGCTTAGGAAATCTACCAAATTACTAACAGATCGCGTCTTTGCATGAAGCAATCATGTTCACAGCCTGCAAAAACTCAGAGTGCTGTACGTCCTGTTAGCAAGAGGAAGAGGAAGGGCAGTGAGAAGGGGAGATGGAGAAGAACCGAGCACCCACACACAGAGGAAGATGTGGTTCGCTCACTGGCCTCCAAGGGACGCGGCTCTGTGAGGAGACAGGGTCTCCTGACGGCACGCATCCAAACGTTAACAAGAACATTCTTATTGAAAACAAAAAGCTGTCGCTGAGAAATGAGCCAGAGTTGCATAAGAACATTTGAAACGCACACCCAAGAGCTACAGGACAAAACATTTGCCAACAACGACGTGATATTTGTTGAGGAGGATGGTAGACAATCAAGGAAATATCAACTTAGAGAAAAACTGAAGATTCATCAGCCACTGAGCGATGAGGCTTACGCGGTGGAGCAGACAGTCTGGCTTCCAAGAGCAGAGCCCAGGGCTGTCGGCCTCTGTCCTTCAGACACACACAACTGTGTGGAATGTGAGTATTGTTTAAGTGTAGCCGACCGTCTTTCTCATTGCTACATGCTTTTCCTTTGTGTGACTACAACCCTCCGCCACGAACAGGTGTCTGATTGTCACTGCTTTTAGGGCTTCTTGCACAGGTCTCTTGGCAAACATCAACACCCCGTTTCTGTTGGTTCAACATCCAGGGAAAGAGACTGCCCAGGAAACACGCATCCAACCTCTGTAGGTTCTAAGCAGTTTCCCACAGTGACTGGTCTTATGTAAGCTGAACTTCTCATTGAGGAGCTGCCGAGGAGCTAAGCTCCCAGCTCCTCCACTTGATCGCCTTCCAATCAGAGGAACTTGGCAATGCGGTTTTTACATTGTCAAGATTCTGTCTGAACTTAGGAAATACACGAGACACAATTACAGATGATAAAGGAAATGAGTGCCCACTCTGAATTATTTTCTCATCCACCACAACAGTCTAATTCGGCCTAAATTTAAAAGCAAAACTAATGATAATAAGCACCGCTTTGTAGCTTCGCAAGATAATTAAAATAATTGCTCCACTGCACATTTCTAAAAAGCTCTAGAAAATACAGTTGGATCAAAACAGCCAGAACTATCCAGTAAGCCACCAAGAGACCACAATCAGTCCTCCAGTTCTTGTTTCTCATGAAGCAGTCTAAAGCCACATCATCAACTCCAAGATTCTTTGGTTAATGAAGCAGCCAGAATCATGGCTCCCCGCGGATACCTGGGTCCCGCACACACATTTACTTGGCACGACCCAAGGTGCTTCGCAGATGTGAGAGGGGAAGGGTGGCGATGGGGGAAGGGTTGTGCTGAATGAACTGGATGGGTCCTTAATGAAAAACAGAGATTTCCTAGATGTGGTGAGAGGGAAAATACAGCTCTAAAGAGTGTCTGTCACAAGCACAGAAAACCAACGAGGCAGCACTGGGAAGAAATAGGAAGACCCCACCAGAGGGAGACCCCACCAGCCCCTCACCGGCTCCGGGGGACGAGGGCTCGAACACGCTGGACGAGTCGCTGTATGTGTTGGACGCTTGCTCAGAGAGCTTCTTTTTGCCACTTCCTTCCGATGACTTGTGTGACTTCTTCTTGTTTTTTACCAAAATTTTATACATTAAATCCATAGGGCTTGGAAGAGGAACTCCGGATTCCAGCTAAGCAAAAAAAAAAAAGAAACACATGTTCTGTGTTGATACCATGTCTTCAGATCGCTGCACCAAACCCCTAGCCAGCCCAGATTGTGTGCTTAGAATAGCTAAGCTTTCTTTGCCACCCTCCACACGGCTCACTGATCCGTGTGCCTGCAGGAGGGCCTGGTTAATAGATGTCAATTTCTTTTTAGTACATACATCAGACACATTTTAATTACTTCCAGTTTTTCATAACAAAATTCACACGAAGATCGAAGAAATGTACTTATCCATTTGCTATATGAAGCCCAAATTTCCAGTTTTGCCATGGATCACAGAAACCCACCCATCCTGATGTGGGATGGGTAAGATGACCCTGACCTGAATTTTAAAGACAGAAATCCAGGCACCGGTGTGGGCTTGGCAAAGACACGTGGTAGCTTTTTGAGCACGCCTGTGGAATCCACTTTTCAGCCACAGCCTGAAAACATGAAAAAGCTGTATGTCTCAGCAACGTGGCATGGGGTTTTGGACTTTCTTCCAGCTCCGAGAGTCAAGCTACCTTATTTTCAAGCCCCATTCCAGTGTTTCCCACTTACACACTGAATGAGAACATCAATTTCCCCAGAGAGGGTTGTTGGGCATCATATCAGAGCCCATGCGTGCAAGTCAAAAGATGGGTTATTTTTTAGAACGATCCAACTCCTGTAAGTTACTTTTCTTCTTTGCTTACAATGAGTTGGGAGGACATGGACCAGCATGAACTCACTTAGGGACACATGCAGATTGGACGCAATGGTCCAACCAAGGAGAAGCTGCGTTAGCATCTCTCTGCTAGGTTCTGTTCCAAAGCAGCTAAGTTCCCTCCAAGAGGAGGCCTCAGTTCTGCAGAGCCAGACCAGGAGTCTCGGTGCCCCCTACAACATTCAGTTTAAATCGCTTTTATGGGGGCCGAAAGGGACGACACTCCCTGTGTGAGGATCAGAGTTCCCCTAAGCTGTTCTCCATGGCTGACTGCGAAACTGCTGGGATGCCCCACACACCCCTGAATCATGTCAGGTTGGGAAAAGGAAGAGAATAGAGGCATGTCTTCCATCCTCCATGGGGCCCAGTGCTGGGATGCTCTTGGTCAGAGAGCTCATTATCAAGTGCATGAATCTTACCAGGAAACATAAACATGGCAAGGAAGTGAGTAAGTGTCCCCTCCGCCTGATTGTAAATACCGCGGGTGTTCCTGCAGAGGCTTACCGGGTATTTTTCCAGGGGCTCCATGAGAAGTGCGTCCCCGAAGATGAGCCGGCAGTACTCTGCCATCTTGGCTTGTTGCTTCGGACTGTGGGGATGGGAGAAGGAAAGAAAAAAACAAGTGGTGAGGCTTCCTTCCAGAGCCTGACCTGAAGTCCCTTGCGCCTTAAGGTTTTTTTTTTTTTTTTTTTTTTAAGAGACAATTCTCCAAACCCCCCACTCGGGATCCGTGTTCATTTTTGCACACGCTTAGCTTAGCTTGCGTGGATCTGCATTTAACACACAGGCAGGCAGAGAAGGCACTGGCCTGGTGAGGGCTACTCGTAGGGCTGGATGCAGAACTACGTATGGACATCACGCAAACCCCAGAGTTAGAGACTCAGGCCTTCTCGTGGAATTGTCTGATACTAACTCACTTGCAAGACACTCGGAGGGGAAGGTCTCGCGTGCAGCCCGGGTGAATTCTTGCATGGAATTTGTCAAACCGACAGGGAGTTGTGTCGGGAGAGTACTGAGGCAGGTGAGGAAATAAGGGTGAAAGAATGAGGAAGGGAAGTGACTGGGGGGAAGGGGAGAGGAGTAGAGGGAGGAGGACTCCTCAAACTTGGAACAAGAAAGAGAAACACTGTGTCCCCTTGTGGAGAGGGTCCTGCCAGACAGAGAGCGGGCTGAGACCTCCAGCCGGAAGCTGATATGACAGCACGGGGCTGCACCTGCAGCATGCCTGGGCCGGGCACCAGGCTCTGCATGGCTCCGGGTCTACTGATCCCAGCTGTTCTTGGAAAGGACAGGGGATGCCAAGGAGATGCAGTGAAATAACGGATGCCAACACCTTTCCTACGTAAAGAGCAAGTGAATATAAAATGATCCCACTATCTGGAGGCGGTGGCCCCTGACTCCACTAGACGCAGCTTGCACCCAGCAACCCGTGAACACAGTTGCTGCAAGGGAACATCCTGTTCTTGCAAAATGCTTCCTTTTCCTCGAGCTTTTAAAATGTAATACATTTCTTCCTTCATTCCGTGGAGTCACAGATACCATGAAAAATACCCAATCGTTTTGATTCTGATCTACAGTGTGCTGAACTTGAGTCCCAAGAGCTCTCTCTACTTGTTGCAAGAATCAAGCATTTTAGCCCAAATAGGACTGAGCAGACAACAGGAACAGTGAGGAAAGCCTTCTTTTTGATAATTCAAATAGGTTGTAACATGAGATTCTTGATTTTATTCCCTCTTTCATGAAGTCAAGCCTGGACAATGGGCTATCTTTTTCTGGGAAGGGGGACATCTGATTTGGGATGGGGGTCATATCATGTTACAATGGGCCACAAAGAAAAACACACTTTCTATGTTTTTTTAATCTTTTTAAAATATGAAGTATGTGATTAGGGGTGCAGAGAATTATTTAGGTTCAGATGGGAACCCCAAAGCTTACTGCTTTCTCAGAAGAGCTGGGAGAGGCAAAGGAGGGATTCAAAGAACTTGCCAAGCCCTGCATCTTCACCCTGTGTTTTCTCACGATGCTTGGTTGAAAGATTTTGCTTAGGCAGAACTCGGGATCAACTTCCGCAGCCCCCATACAGTAATATCAGGGAAGGAAGAATGATTATTCATTAGAGAACTGGCCCTGGCCGACAGTGTTGGAGGGCTCGTCCGGAGCAGGTGGAGAAGTGGCTGCTGTGGCCGAGGAGACGGTAGGCACATTTCAGTTCGCATGCTCCTGCTCCAGGAACAACTTCCCGCTCTGTGAACCTCACCGAAGACACAACTGTTTCTGCTGGGCCAGCCCACATCCTGGCTTTTTACTCCAGGTGAGGGCCAGCAACAGGTAGCATGAGCATTCCCTGCAGCTTGTCAGAAGCGCACAGCCAGACGCGTCTCCAGGGAGACCAGGCCTCCTGAAGATGCTCCTGTGTGATGCTGGTGCTGAGCACAGACCCACCTGATGCTAAGGCATGGGCAAGGTCAAATCGCTCTGACAGATTACAATCAATCTTCAGGTTCTGAAGTAGGAGACAACTCTTCGGAGGGTTGGAACTTGGCATCCCCAAGTTCTCTTTGAGCAGAGGTTTTGAGGGAAGGGGAGGGATGTACCCCAATGTCCTGCTTGCAGGCTCAGGTCCTAAGCAGGTGTGCCCTATCAAGCAATCCCCAAAGCACATTCCAAGAAGGATTTTGCTGGACCCATAGGCCTCAACTCCACCGAAGAATCACAATGGTGGGGATTCAAGCAGATGGGACTATCTGAACTGAGTCCTGGGCTCCTGGCTTCAACCTGGAGGACCCCAGCCATAGCAGGCATTTGAGGAGTTTCCCAGCAGACAGATGTCTGTCAGCCTTTATTCTTCAGTCTTTCAAGTAATTAGAGATGTTTAATCATGATAAAGACAGTCGGGGTTAGCATGGTGGTGCAATGGTTTCAGCCGTCACCTGAGACCTCAGCTTCCCAAGTTGGAGCTCTGATTCAAGCCCTGGTTGCTCCACTTCTATTCCAGCTACCTGCTAACATGCCTTAGAAAGCATAGGAAAAAGGTCCAAGTCCTTGGGCCCCTCCACCCATGCAGGAGCCACGGACAGACTCCATGGAGTTGCAGACTCACCCATTGTAGCTGCTATTTGGGGAGTGAATCAGTGGCTAGAAGATTTTTTTTTAATCACTCTCACCCACATCTGTCTTTAAAACAAATCACATGAATATTAAGTTAAACAGCCTCCCAAGCTGTTAATTTGGCTGGACCTTGTCTGCAGCTTCCTGATGGTCAGCGGACTTCCAATAAACCACAGCGTTAACAGTCACAATCTAACACTTAAATAACCCTGGGCTCTCACTGCAATGAAAATGCTAACACAGGGTCTGTGGCAGGGCCTAAATGCTGCAGTGTTGCAGGTTCTGCTGGTCCAAAGATTAGACTTTGAAGAGCAAAGGCACGTGTCGAACTTGAACTTGTGCAAAGGCATACGTTTACTTAAACTTTTCAAACCTGCCTCAAAAGCGACTGATTTGGAGCGAGCACAAGAAGTAGGTGTCCAGAGAAAAAAGCAAAATGAGCTCTTTGGTAATCAGCCTATTCATGCTCCCAGCAGCGCCTGTGCCCACCTGACAAGGAACTGCATTAGAGCAGAGGGCAGGCTGAATAGAAAGCGTCGGCAGAAAACAAAGCAACTTTAATTGTGGGTCAGAACTGCCAACATCAAAAGAATTCAAATTACAGTTAGAAAAAAAAAAATCCCTGAGTGTTTAGAACAACAGCACCAGCTACCAGGGAGAAAGGAGCAGGAAAAAGGTTTAAAAAGACGTGCCTGTGAGCTTAGGGCCACACAAGACATATCTCAAATATATCAAAATATCCCTAAAATGCAGACCACAGACATCTGACACAGAGGCCGGATTCAACAAACGGCAGTCCAAATGCCCCAAGTGGGAACTAGCCAACGTGCTGCCCACTGGACGAGAAATCTATAACCCAGGAAACTGAGGGCCTTTCCACAAATCTCACAGCCATCTGCAGCCAGAGGAAGGCTAGTGGTTATTCCACTTAAATCCAGTATAGAGTTCACACAAAAAAATTAAGTGGAAAAGCAAAGTAAAGCAGGGCTTTAAAAGACAGATTTTAAGTTCTGAATCTGACCATCTTATAAATGTAGTGTACACAGGAGGAAACAAAACAAACAAAACTTTTTTTTGCACCTGCCGCTTCACTCCACAAGCATCTGTGCGAGCCAGATGTGGGCCAAGCAGAAGCCAGCAGCCAGGAATAACATCCTACTTTCCAACCTAAGTGGCAGGGGCCCATGGCTCGAGCCATTTTCCTTTGCTTCCCTGAGTACATCAGCAGGAGGCTGGGTGGGAAGGAAGGTAGTTGGCGGGCAGGGGTGGGGGGCGGGGGAGTGGGAGAGAGACTAGAACCAACACTGTGACATGGGCTGCAGGCACCGCAAGCGGCAGCTTTATCCACTGTGCCATCGCGCCAGCCCTCTGCTCGTTGCTGTTGCGTAGGAAGCAGGAGTTAATACACAATCATGTTTCTGGTTCTCTGAATGAGTGTGCGTGTGTGTGTGTGTGTGAATGTAAAACAAACAGACAAACAAAAACAAAACACCTGTGCTTGAGGTTGAGTCACAGAAAGGCAAACCTTAGCAGGCAGCTGCCCTGTAGCCCCCCTCGGCTGTCTACTCTGTCTAACAGCTCATGATGCTTTTGTTCAGGTGTAGAGAATGGAGGTGTTTGTTGAGCCAGAATCTTGAAAGCGCACTAACTGGGTTTGCATCCTACCTCTGTCACGCACAAGAGGTACAGCCTTGGGAAATTACCCACAGTCACAAAGGGGTTGTGATGCAGGTTCATCAACTATAAGATAAGGATGATAATAGGAGGGGTCTTCAAAAAGGAAAAAGCAAACATCATAGATTTTTTTTTTTAATACACAAAAGTGAATGTAACTTTTAAGTGCATGTCTCCATGAACTTTAAAAATACATCCTAGTTTCTTTTAGGACCACGTGAGTTTGTGGCAAAGTTAGGGTACAGGAAATACTTGGACCACTGCCTGATACTCAAAGAAGTGTACTCCATAAATAGCAGCTGTGATAAGGCGTGGGGAGCGATGGACTTGTGTCCTTCTCGAGGTAGCTGGTGTCTCGGTGATCCGAAGCTGTGGCAGCGCTCTCCATTTTACTGAATTTAAATGGAAACACTTCTTCTAAAAATTAGGTTAGATGCCTTTTTTTCTTTGAAAAAGAAAGAAAGTCTGTAGTTGGGAAACTAGAATGCCTTCCAGAAAAGCTGCACAGCTATCTTAAAGTCCAATTTCCAATAGATGGGCAGGGACGACAGAAGGTTCCCCAAAACTCACTTGCAGATTGGAGCTATCCTCACCAGTGAGGTACCGACCCCAGGCACGGAGGAGGTGCTCTTTTCTTGTAGGAAGAGAAATAGCAAAGGACACAATCCAGTCTTCTCTCTTCAAATGACCCTCGGAAGTGTTAAGGACTGAGTGCCAAACGGTGATGTCATTCATTGGACAAATGTTTCATAATGAAACAGAACTGTGAGCCAAGGAATGCAATATGGATCTCCCGAGGGCAAGGCAGGAATATTGGCAATTAAAAAAAAAAACCTTACTTTAAAATAAGATCTCTACCTGCACAGTTATTAACACGTGTCCGTTTAACTACTTAGGCAATTGATAGTGACCAAATTATGCCTTAAGACTTAGTGAATTTTTCCATAATGGATAAGCAGAAGCAAGGGTTGCAAATTGGTTGGGAAAGAAATCAATGATGTGGCAAGGCTCCCAGCAAGAAGCAAGGTTAAAGGCACCTGTGGGCCAAGTTAGGACAGGTGCTGCCGGCTCTAAGTTGGAAAGCCTGGGCGAGACAGAGACAGAGAGAGAGAGACAGAGAGAGAGAGAGAGAAGGCTCTTGAGCACTGAATCTTTCGATGCGGATTCCAGGGACAAGCACTTCGGTTCTGCCAACCTTGACTCTTGCATTTGTCAGCACTTGGAAATGAGCAGTACTTTCAACACAAATCTCCAAGGATGTGATGTGGGGGTGTCTTATGCTGGTGCTTTGTGATAAGTAAACATAAACCAGTTCGTTTTAAAGTCCCTTTTCATTGTGTAGCTCAGTAATAAGTGCTGCAATTTTGAAACTGGAAAGTATTCACAAATATTAACAAACCATGGCAGCGGATTCTGTGTGAGCGCAAAGTGGCAGAACAGAGCACACGCTTTTCCACCCACTGGCCACAAGTTAGAGGGAGGGAACTGCCCCGGTTAATGCGCACAAATTGACTAGAAATTTGTGACCGAAGGAGCTAAAGAAAGAGGGTTATGAATATGACCTACTACATTCATGGTCTGAATTAGAGACATACATTACAGAACACAATGCCACCGCATTATAAAAGGACATGGTTAAAAAAAAAAAACATGGCATAAGAGAAGCTTCCAGAAGTCCAATAGATGATGCTAACAAGACTCAAGTGAGTAAGCTCCCGATGAAACTGAAGCATACAATGTCACATGTTCTTAAATCCGAGGAAAGATTTTGAAATATGCCTCGCTTTGGACAATAGGCCCCTTTGTGAATGTGTTTGGTACTCACGAGTCCACGTGGTTCTCAAAGGACAGGAGGATGGGAAATGGGGACGTCTTAAATGCACATTCTGCAATTGCCTCTATCACTTCCTGCAAGAAAAAACAAAGATACATTCAAGATGCTGGGACTCGTCACGGGTACAGCTTTTTCCTTTGGACTACATGCATTAATATGCCTGTCTTTTTCACTCATGGAACGCAGTGGCGTGAAATGGTTAGAAAAGTGTGTGAAGGCTGCTGGCCTATAAAAGTTCTGCTCGTTGCTCTCCAAGACAAAAAGAAAGAAGGCTGCATGCTGGCAGTGTGACACGGAAGGTTACTGAGCCGTTGCCTGTAACACCTGCATCTGTAATGAATGCCTTTCTGAGTCCCAGCTGCTCCAGTCCCAAGCAGCTTCTTGCCAATGCGCCTCGGAGGACAGTGGGATATGGCCTCTGCTCTTGGGCCCCTGTCCCCTTGTGGGAGACCCAGATGAGGCTCCAGGCTCTTGGCTTTAACCTGCCCCATCCTGCTGTTGTAGCTGTCTGGGAAATGAACCTATGAATGAAAATGTCTTTCTCTTTCTCTCTCATTCCTCTTTTTCTAACTGTGCCTTTCTTAAACAAACAAAACTTTGAAAAGGAAATAAGAGGGCCTGGCATTGTAGCCTTGTGGTTAAATCCTAGCCTTGAACATGCCAGGATCCTATATAGGCACCATTTCATGTCTTAGCTGCTCTACTTCCTGTCCAGCTCCCAGCTTGTGGCCTGGGAAAGCAGTCAAGGACAGCACAAAGACCTGGGACCCTGCATCCACATGGGAGACCGGGAAGAAGCTCTTGGCTTTTGGCTTCGGATCAGTTCAGCTCCAGCTGTTGCAGCCGCCTGGGGAGTGAAACAGCAGATGAAAGGTCTTCCTCTCTGCCTCTCCTTCTCTCAGTAAATCTGCCTTTCCAACAAAAATAAATAAATAAATATCAAAAATAAAAAGAAAGAAGGAAGACTGGATGTTGGTGTAAAAGGAGTCAGAACCAAAGGAGGAAAGTTCTATTAACTGGTGACTTTTACATAGGTATATTTATTTACTATATAATAAGTCACATCACAAAAACTTTGATCGGTAAGAGCAGGCAAAAGTCTTCACTTACTGAACTAAACCAGTTCTAATTTGGTTTACATGTGTGTCTCTAACAAATTTGGGTATAACTCATCGAGATATAATTAACATATTGAAAGTGTGCAGTTCATTGGTTATTGGTACATTCAGTGTTCAGTCAACGCAGCCATCTTCCCAGTATAAGTTAGGGCATTGTTATGACCTGTGCACCTGTTGGTAGTTACGTTCCATACTTATACCCTCTCTCTCTTCATCCCTGGAAGCCATTAATTTATCCATAGATTTGTCCACGGTAACCATTTTACATAAATTGAATTATGCACAATATTCATATGTGGCCGTTGTGGGTCTGGCATCTTTCACTCAGTATGCTTTCAAACTTCATCCATGTTGGTTGTTACACGTATCAGTAAACCGATTTGTCAATCTGTGATTTTTAAACACATGCTTATATTATATATCTCGATATATTTATGAAATTCTAGGAAAAGTATCATAATTAACAATTCTCTTCTTGGGTGGATATATTTTAAGAATTATTATTCAAATTATTCTGCAAACATCGTGTTTCTGTTATCTTGAATACCTTTGTAAGAATTCGTTCCCGGAAGGGAATTTATTGAATTAAAGAATGTGAACATTACACAGTTTCTCATGTATATCAAAATTACTTTCCACATTTCCCAGAATAATACATGAAGTTCTGATATTCATGCATATTCACCAGCTTTGAGAAATTTTCAAAACATGCACTTACCCCTATGAAATTGCAATCTCATGTATTATTTAATCGTTATCACTGTCAACAATACTGAGATCTCACATGCCCATGTATTAGTTTTTTAATTGCATTTATTTTTTGAATATTCTCCTTTCAAGTAGGAGTTTCTGTTCCCCTTCTTTATGTGTAAGGTTAGTCCACTAGATTCTTGACCTTCTTGAAAAAAAGATACGTAACTTTCTTTATACCACACCATTAAATGATCTCTCTTGACCCAGAGTACAAATAATGCTTTCTAATTCTGTACTACACTTGCATAAATTCTCTAAGAAGGGTTTAGCTGCATGGAGCAAAAAGAACCAGTGTTGTTTTTTATTTTAAGAGAATTCTCAGAATGCCTTTAATACACAATCAATTTAACTTTTATGATAATTGAGCCCATCAAAAGTATACCATAAATAGCAGCAAGAGCAAATTTTAGAATTCTTCATTTATTGAGCACAGATTTGGATCCCAACTGACTTATAAATGTGAATCTTTCTTCTTAGACTGACAAGCTGTATGTCTTTGGCAGAATCTCCTGATGCCCAAGTGAGTCAGGTCACGGAGTTTCGAGTGGGGCGGTGAGCCCCACTGCAGGCATCGGAAGTGAGGCTTTCTCTATGAGAAGGGAAAGGATCCCGTTCACTGTGAGCATATAGATTTCCAAGTCAACTAAGGAAAGGACGGTAGTTCTCCTTCCCCACTCACCTTAAAACTGCCTTAAAAGAGAGAGAGAGAAAGAAGAAGGAAGAGCTGCTATGTAATTGAATATTTATCATGCACTGGACACGTGTCTCATGCCAGAAACATTTCATAAAGAAAATATTACCTCACACGTTAAAGATTATGCATTGCGAATGCTGAGGTGTTAACAGATTCCCCCAAACACACAGAAAGGAGAATTCAAGATTAAAACCTACAAAGGTATATCAGACTCTGAAATCTACATTTTAACCACTGCAGTAACCCCTACACTGCTAATAACTTCACACAGCTGAAGGCAGCATTTTCCGAAGTACTGACAATGGACATCATGAAGGCAGTGGGGTAAGTGTGGCACACAAAAAATTACAGAAGGGTTAGATTTTTGTTCATCTTAAATTTGGCCCCAGAGGATCAGATAAATGTCAACCCTATCACAGCTACTCTTAAGCTCCTGTCACAGCTTTCAGTGAGTACATCAACAATCTTGACCAAATGTACCCAGGAGGCAACCATAAGCCAGCACTCCCACCGCTAGCTTCCTGATCCTCTGGTCTGTCCCACTGTTGCCACACCACGCAGCACGCAACCCTCTCTAACTGATGGTAACCCTGCTCTCCACTGACTGCACGGCTTGTTGTAACTGGCAGGTTGCAGGTCAAGGTGACAGGTGCTGCTGCTGAACAGTTTTCAAGACCTGTCCTGCAGTTCCGCCACTTCCCTTTCCCTCCTGCCATGAGCCCAATGATATCCCAGATGCAGTGTGTTCATTCTGTCTGGATTCCAAACGCCACGAATCTGTGAGCAGACAGCCTCTAAACCAAGTGGGGAAAACAAATGAAAAGAAAACCAAAAACCATGAATGTAACTCACTGAGATTGAGGTTTCTTATTATTGCAGCCAACCCTGGCAGACATGGGCGAGCAGACCCTTGCAACTGCCTTCCTGGGTTCTCGGTTTGCTTCCTGCATTTCATGCTGCAGCCAGAGTAACTGCTCTTAATCAGGGCTTGCTAATTCCATTGTGTCATTACAGGCTTTTCATTGGCCATTTTCACAGTGAGATCCATGATCAGAATGTGTATGGCCTATTTGATCTGTCACCTCCCATCTCGAACTCTCACCCTCTGCTGCCTCCGTCCCTGCCACACCCTGCCGCAGTCCCTCGACCTTGCTACCTTTCCCCGAATATCCCAGGCATCCTTTCATCTCCTGAATTTGCACCTCGTTCTTGAAGGTCAGGGTTACTTTTATCTGAATGGATGACTTCCTTCCCTCATGTGGAAAGGCAGAGTCTGTGCTCAGACGTCAACTTTCCAGAGGTCTGCAACCACCTTCCTTTTGAAAAATCCTAATTTTTGCCCTCTTTTCTTTCCTTGCTGCTTCCTCCTGCTTTTAAGGGTCTGGTGTCCACGTGTCATATCTGCGTGTTTATTTTGACCTATTTTCACCCAGCAGAGTCCAAGGTGAGGGTAAGGATGTCAGTGCTCCGATGTTAACACAATATTTTGAAAACATAGAAGAGAGTTGTGCATTCTTTTACTTCCATTGAGTAGTTCAGAGGTTAGCACGCTGTTTCCATCAAGGGCCATGAAATAGTTTCAGCTTTGCTGGCCATGTGATTTTCACAACCATCATTCAACTCAGCATTTGTAGGTTGTGATGGCTGACTGTGTGTCAACTTGACTGCACCCTGGGGTGCCCAGATGTTTACTTAAATAGGATTCTGGGCATCATTATGGGGGTGTTTAGGATGAGATTAATGGTTGAATCTGAAGATTGCATCCAGCAGGCTGCATTCTCTAACATGGATGAATGGGCATCATACAATTCCCTGGGGGCCTCAACAGAGGAAAAATCAGAGTAAAGGAGACTGTGCTATCTCGGCTTGGCCACCTTTGAGCTGGGACAACCGGACAACATCAGCAAAGATGCCCTGCCCTGAGTCACATTCATCAACTTGCTTGTAACTTGGATTGGCTCTCCTGGTTCTCAGATCTTCAAAGGGAGAATGGAATCACACCACTGGGAATAATTAATATCAGGAGATCTTGGAACTGCTCAATCTCTCTAGACACAAAAACCAATTCTCTGTAATCTCAAATCCTATTTCTTTCATACATATTACATATGTAACAAATATACACATGTGAGTACTTATACACAAGTATCATATATGTTTACGTTCTTACATAGTATAATTTCTGTCATAATCTCTCTATATACATATGCACACATATGTATATATTTCCATCTATTTATTCATCTGATTTTCTATTAGACAAATGCATTGCCCAAAGTAGGCACAGTATGTAACTAAGTGAATGTGGCTGTGTTTCAAGAAAACTTAATTCACAAAATCAGGCAAGTGTCTTAATGTAGCCCCTGTCAAAGAAATTTTGTTGACCACTGGACTAATCTGATCTTTGATTTAAAGCTTTATTGTATGTAAAGGTAAATACAAGTTGATATTATAGAAATTTGAACATTGATTTCTCACCCAATAGGCAAATTCACCTTAACATCTTTAT